ACGACAAATTTGTTCAACAGCCTACGCAAAAACAACATAACAATAATATCTTAGAAAAGAAAATTGATGTCAGATTTCTTTTTATTTCTGCTTCTTTCTTAGCAAAAGGTTCTTTTACAATTCAGTTCGTTGTCTCTTATTTATCCCGTTTCTGTAAAATTGATATAGTCGTACTATATTGCCACATCTTTTTGTCAGAGGGCTTCTTTTTCTCCCAAATCGTTTGAGGGTTGCCCAATGCACCTAAATTGAAAATGTTGTCGAGTCGACTCGCTTCGACTCGAATCGTACGATTCCTCTCCTACGATGTCGACCCGCCATAGCGGAAGAACGTGTACAACATTTTGTGTGTTATTTCATGCGACGGTTAAAGAACGAGGAATATGATGCATGTTGTGCAGCGAGCGTGTTGTCTAGCTATGGATAGGTGAATAAGGGCACTTGTTTCGTTCTGTAGTAACGTGTATTAGTTAGTCATTACGGCTCACAACTTGCAGTAGAATTCCGCTGAAAAGAATTCATTAAGGCGGTGAATTTACGCTGTATGTGTATTAACTTCAGTTTCATAATCAATCAAGTGTTTAACATTTTTTACTACATATGCACCAAACTCTGACTGAACAGCTTTGCCGGGGATAGTTTCTTACTACGATATATGTGTCTGGTCTTAACAAGTAAACAAATATGGATAAAGGCAGGAAAAACTCACCTTCTGATAGTCAAAAATGCTGAATAACTCGGTCCACCTCTCTATCATGAAACTACTTTATAGCGATAATTAACATGAGAGGAGAGGTACGTACTTAATGATTCAGGAAAACAATTATGTTGACTGACAGGAAGACGATTAGAAATTAACTTACACTGAAAACCAGATGACCCTTGAAGGCTTAAAAATATATTCTATTCTCAACAGTCTTCCTGTTTGTATAATTCTCTTTGTTATGTTACGAAAAGTTTCTTCACAGGCCCACTCGCTATACTACAGTTGGATCCCGAAATTTCGAACTCTCAAGGGTGACGAAAAATAGATCGAAATTGCAGGACTTCGATACAGCCGATAGTAAATGACTGAAAGGCGAATCTAAGGGAAATGGTTTTGAGTTCGAAACAACGGGGAATTCGAAATAACCGT